TCGGAAAGTTGCTGCACTCTGATTCACTGGAAACAGAATTACATTTCATTGTTTTTTTGTTTTTTGTGTTTTTTTTGAGACGGAGTCTTGCTCTGTCGCCCAGGCTGGAGTGCAGTGGCGCCATCTCGGCTCACTGCAAGCTCCGCCTCCCGGGTTTACTCCATTCTCCTGCCTCAGCCTCCAGAGTAGCTGGGACTACAGGCGCCCGCCACCTCGCCCGGCTAGTTTTTCGTATTTTTTAGTAGAGACGGGGTTTCACCGTGTTAGCCAGGATGGTCTCGATCTCCTGACCTCATGATCTGCCTGTCTCGGCCTCCCAAAGTGCTGGGATTACAGGCTTGAGCCACCGCGCCCGGCCAGAATTATATTTCATTGTAACTGCAAGCATGTAACTACAAATGCAAACCAAAGTAATTTGATGACTGCTGTGAATACTAACTTACTCTATATATGGGACAAACATAAACAACTATAGAGTAGCAATGTGTTTCACAGCTTTCTAAGTTTATTCTTATATATGAAAAAGTTCAAAAATAATGAAGGGATACCATATATATAAAATGCTATGTAAGTCACATTTCAAAAATCTAGTTGACAGAATACATTGTTAACCCCTTTATGCCTAGTGTTCCATTATTGGAACACTAAGCCTGTGGGAGTTATGTAAACTGTTCAAGGTCATTGACCAGGTCTGATTTCTCACACATAAAAAATTGTAACCTCCTGCATAAATGGGTTAAGTTCCAGAAATTCACAACCTTAAAAAGACTGGAAATAAGACAGAAGAATCTGTTAGCATTTATGATTAAAAAGTTAAATGATTTTTAAAAAATTATACACAGGTTTTCACTAAAGCATTTTGCTAAAATTTACTTTTGAAATCACAAAGAGCACTAAATTCTGAGTCATTTTATCACGTCTGTGTTTAAGATCAACGTCAATACAGCCATGGGACATTTAACAACATGGATATGTTCTGAGAAATGCGTTGTTAGGCAATTTCGTTCACTGTTCAAACATCACAGTGTACTTACACAAACCTAGATGCCATAGCCTACTACATACCTAGGCTATGTGGTGTAGCCTAATGTTCCTAGGCTATAAACCTGCACAACATGTTACCACACTGAACTCTAGACAACTGTAACACAATAAGTACGTATGCATCTAAACATAGAAAGGATACTGTAAAAATACAGAATTATCATCTTCTGGGACCACGATCCTAAATGCGGTCCATCATTGACCAAAATTATGCAGCCCGAGTATATATTTTTTTACAATTCAAAAAGTAATTTCAACTTCTTCCTTTCACCACCTGTCCTGAAAGTAAGTCAATTTGCACAGAGTAAAACTTCCCACTAAAGTTATTTATTTTATAGTTGACAAAATGAGAAGCTTTTTCTCAATTTTGTGCTTGAAGGTCTAAGATCTAAACCAAAATTAGGGTTTACTTACAAAGTATTCTTCAGAAAGACCAAGAACTGTTCTTTTAAAATAATTGTAATATAAAAGTAACAAATATAAAATGTGAACACCAGTTGTGGTAATAAGAAACTTCACCCCTCAAAATGCAATGTTAGAGCACCCTCTGCTGACTAACATCTGTCTGAAGAAAGAGACTCTATTTTGAGTTAGGCCGGCACTTTCCATTTCCCATGTAATTTTTAAAAGCTAAAGATACAAAGATAAAGCTCTAATCAGACAAAACCTCCTTGGTAAGCTATCTACAAATCAACAACAACAAATGTATGGAGTATTCATTATAAGTACACCACTGTTCTTAAATTTTTTAAATTCTAATTTGGACAAACTGACATAAGCAATTAGAGAGAACAGACAAGAGACAAGATGGGAGAAAAGTTTTTAAACAAAATGTTAGCAGGTGTGGTGAAAAGAGCCCTGAACTGATACTCTCAAAATCTGGGTCCTAACTTACCTATTTAAGCAAGTTATTTTACTTATTGGAGTCTCGGTTTTCTAAATAAAAGCAAGGGGCAAATTTAAATTCATTCATTCATTCACTGAACAAACATTTACTTATCCCCTCCTATGTGCTACTGGTTAAAGTACAAAGAAAGATGATCCAAAATCTGAACCTTTTCTAACACTGACATGATGCTCAAACAAACCGCTTATTGAAGCATTTTGTATTTCCAATTTTCAGATTTGGAATACTGTAAGTATATAATACGAACATTCCAAAATCTGAAAAAATCTGAAATCTGAAACACTCTGGTCCCAACCATTTTGGATAAGGGATACTTAACCCATATTAACTCACTTAATTCTTCAAACTTACAGAAGTACAAGGTACCGTTATTATTGCTGTTTTACAGATAAGAAAACTGAGATACAAAAAGGTCAAATAGGGCCGGGCACGGTGGCTCACGCCTGTAATCCCAGCACTTTGGGAGGCCGAGGTAGGGGGATCACGAGGTCAGGGGTTTGAGACCAGCCTGACCAACACGGTGAAACCCCATCTCTACTAAAAACACAAAAATTAGCTTGGCGTGGTGGGCGGGCGCCTGCAATCCCCACTACTCAGGAGGCTGAGGCCGGAGAATTGCTTGAACCCGGGAGGCGGAGGTTGCAGTGAGCCGAGATCGCGCCACTGCACTCCAGTCTGGGCAAAAGAGCGAGACACCATCTTAAAAAAAAAAAAAAAAAAGTCAAATAACTTGCCCAAGGTTATACCACTAGTAAGTGATGAAGCTGGGATTTGAAATCTGGTTTCGGACTCCAGAGTCAGCATCCTTAATAACCATTATGTTACAATATACAGTTAAAACATGACAAGAATATAGGAAGTACACACATAGTGTAGAGATGGCACAAAGGTAGAAATGATCACTTTGGGCTAAAAAGAACCACGAAAAAAGGTCATAGTTAAGCTAGAAGTTAGAAGTATGAGCTAAAGGAGGGAATATATGAATAATTAATTACAACCAAAACAAAGGATGCAAGAAAGAGCAAAAATGATTTATCAAAGAAGATGAGCAAAGGAACAGAAGCCCAAAACATTATCCAATATTCATTAAAACAAGTAGCTTAGTATACCTGGAAAGAAGTGGGATCATGGACAACCTTACACACAAATCACGCTTTAGTGTTTGGCTTTACACTGTAGATGATGAGAAGTCAGAAAAGGGTTCTTGAGGAGAATAACAATGTTAGATCTGCATTTCAGAAAGAAAAATTATGGCACTGGGGAAGATAAACTAAAAGTAATAGTATTAAAAGCAGGAAGACAAATTAAGAGGTTACTAAAACAACCCATATGAGAAATCAGATGCGTCTGAATCCCAAAAAACAAAGCAGGGAGTTTAAGGCATACTTAGAAGACAGAATCAGAATCCAGAGGCTGGATGATAAGGGAATCAAGAGTGGAGACGAACATCAACAAATTTAAAAGATCCAAAATTACAGTGAGCTCTTTTTTTCACTACAATAGAATCAAACTAGAAACTAATTAAGATAACAGAAAAACCACTAAAAGTGGAAATTGAACACATTTCTAAAAAAAAAACTAAGGTCCCAAAAGAAAGCCTCAAAAGAAAATTTTAAAAATACATAGACCTGAATGAAAACAAAAACAGAACATATCAAAATTTATGAACTACACTAAAGCATGGTCGAAACAGACATCTGTAACACTAAATGCTTGTACAGCACTGTGAGTGTAATTAACACTACCATGGTTAAGATGGTAAATTTTGTTACATGCATTTTACTACAATTTAAAAAAATTTAAGGTAAGAGCTCAAAAAAATAACCTAAGTTCCTTTTCAAGAAACTAGAAAAAAATAACAAACCCAAAGCAAGCAGAAGGAATAATATTACTAAAAACAAAAAACAGAAACCAACAAAATTGGAAATTTTTAAAAGTAGAGAAAACTCCATAAATACAACACTGGCTCTTCAAAAAAATAAATAAAATTGGTAAACCTCTAACAAAGCTGAAAAAAATGAAGACAACACTACAGATCCTACAGTCATTCACTGATAAGGAAATACTATAAACAACTCTATGTTTATAAATTCAACAACTTAGAAAAAAACGAATCAACTCCCCAAAACCCATAAACTACCAATACTCAATGAAGAGGAAATAGGCAAGCTGAGTAGATCTATATGTATCAAAGAAATTGAATTGGTAATTAAAATGCTCTCCAGGAAGAAACCTCCAGACCCAAGTGGTTTCACTGGAGATTTCTATCAAACACTTAAAGAATTAACAGCATTTTTACACGATCTTTTCCAGAAAATACATCAGAATAGAACACTTCCCAACTCAGTTTATAAAGCCAGTATAACCCTAATACTAAATCAGACAATCGAAAAAATAGAAAAATACAATCCCTCTCATGAACATAAGACACAAAAATCCTCAACAAAATATTATTTGGCAAACTGAATCCAACAATGTATAAAACTAATTACATTCCGTGACCAAATGGGACTTATTAAAATAGGTATACAAGGTTGGTCCAACATCAAAAATCCACAAATGTCATCTATTATAGCAACAAGCTAAGGAAGAAAAGTGATACAATCATATAATTAGCACACAAAAGGCATCTGACAAAAATCCAACATCTATTCATGACGATTGTGAAAGACCAATACATTCCCCATAAAACTAAGAACACCACAAGATGTCCATTCTCATCACTCTTATCCAACACAGCACTAGAAGTTCTAGCCCCTCCAATAAGGAAAAAAAAAAGAAGAAGAAAAAGAAGAGGAAGAAGAGGAGGAGGAGGAGGAGGAGGAGGAAGAGGAAGAGGAAGAGGAAGAGGAAGAAGAAGAAGAAGAAGAAATAAAAGGCCTACAGATTAGAAAAATTAAAGTAATTTCTATTTGCCGATGTCAAGACTGTTTACATAGAAAACCCCAAAGGATCTACCAAAAAAACTCCTAGACCTAGTGTGTGAGTCCAGCAAGGTTGCAGAACACAAAAATCAATCACATTTTCCACATACTAAAAATGAACATTCATGCTCGCTTTGGCAGCACATATACTAAAATTAGAACAATACAGAGATTAGCATGGCCCCTGCACAAGGATGACACCCAAATTTGTGAAGCGCTCCACAGTAAAAATTTTTTAAATTATAAAAATAAAAAATAAAGGAACATTCGGAAAACAAAATTAAATTTTCCTCTTTTACAATATATGTGGTTTGGCAGAGAAAGACCTCTAGGTGTTTTCAGCAGCTTTTCTCAAAATAGTCCCAGAATGGAAACTACCCAATGTCCATCAGTTAATGAATAAACAAACAATTTGTGGTACAACTATACAGTGGGATACTATTCAGCAATAAAAAGGAAAAAAACCACTAATACATGCAAAAAGGATGAGTCTCAAAAGCATTACTTGAGGTAAAATTCAGACACAAAAGGCTACATACTACATGATTCCATTTATACGGCATTCTGAAAAAGGTAAAACCACTGAGATGGGAAATTAGATCAGTAATTGCTGTGAGTTGGGGGAAGGAAGAGGTAACTGTAAAGGAGCACCAGGGAATTTTGTGAAATTAAATATCTTATCATCTTGATTTTGTTAGTAGCTATACAACGGTACACAATTGTTTAAAATCTCTTCAAACCATACTCTAAAAAAGATGAATTGGCCGGGCGCGGCGGCTCATGCCTGTAATCCCAGCACTCTGGGAGGCCCAGGCAGGTGGAGCACCTAAGCTCAGGAGTTCAACACCAGCCTGGCCAATATGGTGAAACCCTGTCTCTACTAAAAATACAAAAATTAGCTGGGTATGGTGGCAGGAGCCTGTAATTCCAGCTACTCAGGAGGTTGAAGCAGGATAATCACTTGAACCCGGGAGGCGGAGGTTGCAGTGAGCTGAGATCATGCCACTGCACTACAGCCTGGGCGACAAGAGCAAAACTCCGTCTCAAAAAAAAAAAAAAAAGAGAAGATGAATTGTATTCCACATTAATTATATGCTTGGGATTATTTTTCCCTTCTCAAAGAGTCTGTTAGCCAAGTAGATGAACAAAGAATAGTAAGAAAGAATTAACAGTAAAGGAAAAAAATTTGTTTTAAGAATACTCCATTCTGCTATTATCTATAACTAATTTTACTATATGTACTATTTATTAAAAGACTCTTTAAAACCAAGCATTTGTTTAAAAAACAAAGCCCCCATACTCTTCATCTATGTCCTACCAAAAGGAAGATAAAGTCATATTTTTAACATCTGAGTATGATGGAAGTCATGATTTATCAAGGACTCTAGTTTTTTTTCTTGCCATTGAGAATTGTCACCTTGTATGAAAAAGACAGACTTATATGAATTAGGGGACAGAATCAGTGACAAGGTTATAAAGAAGAGAAGAAACATCAATTTCTGTTCTTTCTTCCCTCATTTATGAGTTGTCTTAACTGGCGACTAATTTCCTTTCCTACCTGAACTTATTTAAAACTCCAAAGAATAAATATAGGAAGGACATTATTATCCAACTCAAATAAATGCTTCTCTATCCTTAAGACGCTTGTGTGGTCTCAAAAGTCCAAGTCTTCCAACACTTTAGTGGTAGCTGCTTTCCTACACCAATGGAAATTCACAAAACCATCCTATTTTGTGAAACTCACTATTTAAATGCCAGATATTCTTATATTGATAGCCTATTTCCAGGAAGACACATTTTTTAACATAAGAGAAAACTGATATTACTGGAAGCAAAGAGAGAGAAGATGAAGACTAAGCCCAGAGGTCCTGGATTACATTTATGCCTCTGGAAGTTATTCACGCCTCATATATATGGAGTACTTAAAAACACTAAAGGAAAAGATGTATCAAAAGTCATTAGCTATAATGAGCTTACAGCATGACATAACTGTGGAAGTGATATAACACTTTATAAAAAGTTAACACCCCCAAAACTACCATGAAGATACTTGAATATAATTGCTTTCACATAAGCTCTCCAAAAGGGAAAAGAACTCCACTCTTTAATAAAAGACTTTCCAAAGGGATAAATACTGACAAAGTAAGAACATGGTATAATAATGTTTACGCCAAAATCATTGTTCTGCAGTGACAAGGAGAAATGGGCCCAAACACTATTTACCCATAAACCTATAAAATATAAGCCATATTGAATACAAGAATAATCACCACAAGGGACAGAATAAAACAGCAACTGAAAGATGATGACTTAGCAATCACTTACTTTACAAGCTAAATTGAGGTTTCCCAAATTTCCAGAGTTCCTCAACTGGGGGCGGTTCTGCCTCCATTCAGGGACATCTGGCAACGTTTTGGATAATCAAAACTGGAGGAAGTGCTACTGGCACTTGTAGGAAGAGGCCAGAGCTGCTGTTAAATATCCTATAATGTACAGGGTAGCCCACCACAACAAAGAATTATCAAATTCAAAATGTCAATAGTGACCCTATTGAGAAATCCTGCTTTACAACAAAACTGAAAAGCCCCGCTAGTCACACAAAATCTTGAGATGATCTGTAATACATATAATGCAATACAATGTAAATAACTATAGATAGAAATGTCAAGTGCATACATACACCCCATTGCTACTCTCCCACACTCTTTCCCCCCCATCCTGTCATTCTACTCTTCTATTTAATAATCGTTACTCCATTTACACTTCCTTTAAGCCACCTTCCCCTTCCAAAACCTCCAATTCTCCTGAGAAATAAAAAATGGAAAACATTGCCGCCTTATCTATGCTGCATGACGTCTAGAACTACTCAAGAAGAGTCAGAGGAGTCTGATATATGATCATGAAGCTCAGTATTGTTTTGACTTACAGAAAGAATGCTATAACAAGACAACTGTCATAACTTCCCAGAACCACCTCAAAGGATTAGAGACGGGACCCAAAATACAACCTTGCATGTTTGTAAGCCATTATGAAAAATTTACTCATTCTTGGGATCTCATCAGCACAAGGTGAGTTTCAAAATTTCTCTCCTTGCTAATAAAATCCTCTGATTCACATCAGCTGCATTTATTAAACACCTAACTAGCTTCCTTTCATTTGTCCTAAAGCTCTTTCAAAAACTTATTTTAATATTCCCCATTTCAGAGAGCAAGTCCATTTTTAACCAATTTGTATTTTTCATGTTTCATTTAAATCTGTCTTAGCCTGTATCTTTTCATTCAACTGTATCCAAATGGCAGCATTTCAACATTAACATCCAGCATACCTTGAACTATTTTTTTTTTTACACTCTTCGCTCTGTAATTTCCAGTTTCATTAAATATTTTTGGAAGCACAATGAACAAAACTCCCAATAACAGAGGAAGTACAAAAAAACATCATTTGTACATGGATAAGCCCAGGTTTAGGATTTGATTTCAATACTTTTTTTTTTTTTTTTTGGGACAGAGTTTCACTCTTGTTGCCCAGGCTGGAGTGTAATGGCGCAATCTCAGCTCATCGCAACCTCCACCTCCCAGGTTCAAGCAATTCTCCTGCCTCAGTCTCCCGAATAGCCAGGATTACAGGCATGCACCACCACACCCAGCTAATTTTGTATTTTTAGTAGAGATGGGGTTTTTCCATGTTGGTCAGGCTGGTCTCGGACTCCCAGCCTCAGGTGATCTGCCAGTCTCGGCCTCCCGAAGTGCTGGGATTAGTGTAGTATCTGTTCTTATCAGTTCAATACTCTTCTTAAAAATGTAAAACATCAAATTTATTTTTCATGTAAAAAGGAAATCAATATATTTTAAATACTCTAAACTAAGCCTAGTTAAGATGTGCTTCTGACATAGTGGTCAACTAAATATGGCAATCAGTGTGAACAATGCCACTTAAGGTAATCATGTATATAAAGATGTTATAAATATTTTGGTGACAGAAATAAAACTGAATAGTGTCAAGAGACGACTTTTCATAAGGGAGTTTTAAATATGCCTGAAAATAGCCCATAACCAAATATATTCTTATTGTACCATACAAAAATCTATTGCTAAAAATATATGAAGCTATCCAGTCATCCATGCATCCAAACAGAAGGCAGAAATATTTTCAATAACGTATTCTAATAATAATCTAAACTTCATGTATTGTATGAGCTAGACTAATGACGTCTATCCTCGTAGAACTTTTTTACAATTGTTTCAGGGCACACTATACCCTTTTAAAGCTAGTATATACTTAATGCTTAATAATGCAGAAAAATTCACTCACCATTTCAGTGGTGTGCCTTCATATTCAAACCATATCTCACTAATGTCTTCTTGTCTCATAACCTTCTGAAAGTGCTTTTTCACTTTGTCAGTTACCAACGTCAAATAACTTACTCTTGGCAAAAGCAACTGAAATGAAAATTTGTAAAATCGTATTTATTTACTAGTTATTATTTTTTAAAAATACTAAGGTTTTTGAATTTTACGGAAAAACAGCCGTGTTCTTTGCATTATTTTGAACATCCCACACAAAGTCAACTGCTTTTTATAGAAGATCAAAGCTTAAAGGTTAAGATGTTTTAATATTTCTTACGGGGCCATTACTTTAAGCACAGCTTACCACATAAATGCCCAGAATCATCAACACAAATCTATCTACAACTTTCTGTAACACTAAATAAAAATGTAATTAGATGTCATACTATTTAAGATACTTATTGGTTCTATCAAATTTACCTTAAAAATTAAAATGATTCATCTGAGTCAATTAAACTGTTCTAAGAAGATAATCAACTCGAGTCTTAAAGTATACCTTGACTTATCAATCAAATCTTCTCAACCAGTCCATCATGTTTTGAAGGATGAGAGAGAATGCTGGGCTAGGTAAAGCCTCAACAAAAACAGTATGAAGAACCTGGTCAGTGTTTTTTTCCCCACAAAAGGTACCCAAAAATAAAACAGGAAGAGTGTTTTGGAAAATCAATTATGATTTATATAAAGAACCGACAATTAGATAAAAGAAGGAGGTTGGCAAAAATTTATGGTTTTCCTCCTTTGCAGTAGACACTCTAGTCATTTCTTGCTTTCCTAAGTGTCTGACTTCTTTTGCTGATAAAACTGCTTTGTTATTCTTTTGGCTGCTTTTATAAATGCATCATCTTTCATGCTCTTTATTCAAGGTGGTATCTGTTGACCAATAAATCAAGT